CCTTAAGAGTGAGCATACTAGTTATACTATGGCAGTAAGTACTAAAGTGCAGGAACCAAAACAATAGACTTTGCAGCTCCATAGTTACCACCGGTTCGGTTTGTATATTGTACATATGTAAATTTGCGCAATTGTTCCTGTGATCGACTCACGACGCTTTCGCAATCCGCAACTTGCTCCAATTGCCAGACCGATAAGCGCGATGTTCCATCTTCGCAAAGACATCAACTCCTTTCTGGTCTTTTCTTGCAGATAGCAGCCGATGAGCTCGAAAATTTGGATATGGAGAAACATACCGGGCGTTCCAGGTCGATGCAACGATGTGATTTACACGCGGTCGAAATTGCAGCCGATTTCGCGCGATCTTCTTATATTCTTTGGCGGTGATGTCCAAGTATGTTCAAAATCGATCGACGAATAAATAATTGTAATCTACTCTCTCATGCCTCGTTCCATTATCTTGCCACCTGAAGATACTTCAAAACACTTGAGTTTTCTTTAAAAAATTATGTGACGATTCTTTAAAAATTATAAAAACTTCCTGTATATTTCAAGTTTGTAAATTATTTATTGTGTTATATTAAAAATAATTATATGGAGTATATGAGAGGCATCATTATATTTTAGAATAGGTCATTAGCTGTATAACTTATTCTTAAAATTTTTTGCTTGCATTATATGTGTATTTAAACGAATATAACGACACGATATATATTTATATTAACACAATTATTGGATAAAAATTATCGCAGGACATTCAAGAAAACATGGAAAAGCATTCAGATGGCAAGAAATATGTGAAATGGAGTTTAGAGAACACAGCAACTATACTTTCTGAACAGTTTCCTAGAAGTCACATATTTGTTGTTCGTCCATCCAGGTAAATTATCATAACGTTACGTATGGAAACTAAAATATTTCAATGTTTCTATTTTGACATTTGATAATGCATGATAATTATAGATATAATAATGATCAAAAGGATTTATATAATTCACTGTCAAGTTCATATCAAGTTACTTACACAACAATCTCGTTTTTGTTTCAGAATGACAATAACAAGAAACGCAGTATTCAGTTGTTTCGATAATTTCATACCGGGAGATAAATACGGCACACCTACATTTTGCCCAATGCACAAAGCTATACAACATTTAAGGGATCTCCTTCTTTGTTGCCTGGAACACGTTAAAACATTAAAAATGGGAGAGGTATGCATCGGAGGCACAAACCATAATTTATAAAAAAAAAATTTATAAATCAATGTAATATAGCTGTCTACAACTTTAATATGCAACTGTATTTATAACTCATACCTTGACAATGTTCTTAAAAGATATAATGTGTTATATGTATATACATATTAAGTAGATATAACATCGAGGTACTGAATTCATATTTCAACATTTTGTAGGATAGCCATAATATCGAAACTACAAATTTAAGTCTAATGGGCTTCAGTAAGGGATGTGCGGTTTTGAATCAGTTTCTTTACGAGTTTCATTATTATGATGATAACTCGAGTGACGATCCTAATATAAATAACTTTATCAAACTCATTAAAGATATGTGGTGGCTAGATGGCGGACACAATGGTCCCAGAAATACATGGATTACTGATCAAAATATACTTCGTTCCTTTGTTAAATTAAGTGAGACCTAGACAAATATTTCAAAGTAATAATCTTCCAATATATTATTTTGATATAACATGATAAAATATCTTCTTCAGGAATAAACGCTCATATACATGTTACGCCGTATCAAATGCGAGACAAAGACCGGCCATGGATTCGGATGGAAGAAAACATGTTCAATGATACCTTACAAAAGATGGGAGTATCTGTACAACGAATTTTACACTTTAGTGACAAAGCGCGAAATCTCTCGTCGCATTTCAATGTTCTTACAGATATCAAAAGTAATGTACAGTAAAACCATCGTACTCAGTTTCCTGAAAATTCGCTGCATAATTGAGCATTTGTGTATGAATCGTAAAATTAATAGGTCGCAATAGATTGCAACTTCTTCACTTCAGAATCAAAGTAAAGTCGTATGAAAATAATCTTGTTGACGATATAATTGATATTTCGGTGTTGCAAACTATTTCATAATTTATACTTTTCATGTATATTGATTATAAGAAGAGTTTAATAGAATTTATTTTACGGAATATTTTCATAATGTACATATTGATTACTGCTTACTCTAAATACTCTTATTCTAGTCATAAATAATAAAAATTTGTTAAATGTAAATCATATATAATATTTATATACAATATTATTACATTGTACAATTTTTTAATGAAATTATTTTCCTATGTGATATGTATAATATCTTTATGAACAATTACTAATGTATTTAACACTAAATACTATAATTGTTTATTTTATTCAATAATCTCTAAGGAAATATGATAAAGTTATGATTCTCGCTTTTCCTTTTTATACAAATCTTGTTTCATATTTTTCCTTCTATTTTTAATTATTACCTAATATCTATCTTAATATCTATCTTCATAATTATAAAGCAAAAAATGGAAAATATTACGTATGTGATAATAAATATACATATATAGAAAAATAATATAAAGTTAACTATATTACAAGTAATATTACAATAGAGGAATATCTCTGTAAAGAGAAAGATCATCTTTGCATACAGTTCTTATTACATTATTCTTTACATTATTCTATCTTTCATAAATGTATTGAGCTACGCTAGTTTAAATAGAAAACTTGTATTATCTATTTACTTACTTAAATATACTTTTTTAAATCTGATATTTCTTTCTATTTTTAGATATTGATAAATGTTTATTTAAATGAAAAAAAATTAATTGTTTTCTTGTAGTAATTGTAATGTAGTTTTAATATTAATTAAAACTAAAAAAAATATTTTTTTAATTGAATATCTTAACTGATAATATATATCAGCATTAATAAAATAACTTCTTAACTCTAGAAAACTTTATTATGAATTTTTTAATAGTATTTTAGCAATTATTTTAGCTTTACAAATCTTGCTTTATGTAAATGTTATGGTCAAAGCCCGAAACGTGGCATTCTTAGGATTAACTGGTCAATCCTGCGGAACAACCAAGCATCTTGGTTAAAGCAGTTTTTAAGAATAGGCTTAGAGTTAAATTAATTTTTTTATGCAAAGGAGGGCTCTCCCGCCTATTTGTGTACTGTCTTTTTATACACACTCGTTTTATACATACCTATCAGCAAATGACCACAGACTCTTACCAAAACGCTTGGTTGGTCGACAGAATTGATTTATAGTTAATCCTAGGATTGCCCGTGTTTCGGGCTTTGACCATAACATATAGATGAATGCACTTTCATGAAAATCTAAAATAATAAGAATATTCTAAGCATTTATCTAGCATTTATATTTGGTTGTTGCCATTCTTGTGTGTCACGATGTATAAATTCGTACAAGAAACGGTTTTTTTCGATGTAAATTATAGCTCACTTTCTTCATTAACATTTGTTTGCGCATTTAGGTCCATGAAAAGTTACTCCTAACTCTGTAATAAATACGAATAATAAGTAACAAATCTAAGTTAACAAATATAATACTAAAATACTTTACATTTACATATACAGGATGGTCCCGAACGTTCCAGCCAGACTTTGTGATCTTAGGAAATTTAAGGCTCCAGTAGTGCGATTCTGTAACTCGTTATGCGTTGTTATGTGCTCATAACGACAGTTGCGCAGTTTTTTTATCATATAGTATACCTGCGCAACCGAGGCGCAACTGTCATTATGAGCACATAACGACAGCATAACGAGTACAGAATATAGATAATTCGTTTATATATTTGATTCTCTCGAGTGATAGTTTTTTTAGTCTGGCAAAGCCTTTGTCCCGCAAAGCGGCTGCTAGACAACTTTTTTTCATTTTTAAACTGTAATTGACCACCACGTCAAATTTCAGGTTTAATAAAATGATTCCCGAGGGTCACTTTTCATTACATAGAGGGTCGCCAGACTCATGCCGTCCCAGCTGACAGCTCCCAGACTCTGTCAATATTGTTTTTTATTAACTAAACATTGTACATAAAAAGTCTCAGCTTTAATAAAATCATTCCGATGTGTTCATTTTTATGACAAGATCAACGACGCCGCGGCGTCCCGACGCCCGCCGTCCCGGAAAGCCACAGCCAGACTTTGCATTTCGTCATTTTCAGCATCAAAATAAAAGAAAAAATGGATTTCCAAGTTTAATAAAATCACTGACCGATTTTTACCTCTACCTTCCAGGCTATAAGATCGTGACGTCAGAGAAATGACATGATGAGAATTCTTACGTGCCATTTCCAAATAAAAAGATATTTGCATAAAATAACACTTTAGATCATTTCAGTACACTTTAAAAATACTCCGAGGTCTATCTCCGAGTCTATATATCTCTTTCCCTTGACAATAAATAAACAGCCATAAAATGAATGTAATACGAAGCCTAGTGATGCGGTCTTATACGCAGGCGTATGACTAGGCTTCATGTTACATTCATTTCACGGCTGTTTATTAACTGTCAAGGGAAAGAAATAGACCTCGTACTGAAATGATCTGAAGTGTTATTTTATGCAAATATATTTTTATTTGGAAATGGCACGCAAGAATTCTCAGCATGTCATTTCTCGTATCTGACGTCACGATTTCATATGGCCGCGGCGAGTACCTAGGACCCTTAATTCTGATTGTAAACAAAAAATTTCCTGTAAATGGGTCGAAAAATGCTTCCTTAAGAAGATAGCGTTTAAAAACTTCTAAAATCACGTTTTTAAATACATTTTTTGCAAATATTTAGGAAACTATGCCTTTTTTACAAGGGGATGCTGGAGCCGTAGCCGAACTCGATCGGCGTCGGTAAAGA